AAAACATCTATGTCGGAACAATCTCTGGGGATGATTCCAAGATTTCACCTTCACAAGCAATTTAAAATTCGTATCAAAGCAAATGGACGAATAGTTTGACACCCTCGAAAGATAGAGCCTGGTATGGTTTACGGACGGCTTCAAAACGGCCAGGGGCGGTGCAGGAGCATATGGACTCAGACCCAGACGAAGTGTAAGCTACAATCTGGGGAGGTTTTCCACTGTATTTGAAGTAGAAGTCTTCGCAATAAGGAGGATGAACTTGTTAGGAAGGGATCCAAAACAAAGTTCATTGGCCCGGATCCCTTCTGTGGCACATCTCACATCTTACAGTGTGGTCAGGGGGGCTCTGGGCAAATGGACTGCGTTAGAACATAGGAAATACTGGGCTTCAAGGTCGGGGTAAAGCAATGCGAAGGAGTGTCCTTTACAGAAAACAACGAAGAACGAAGTAGAATGACGCTCCTGGGAAAACACTGTCTGAAATCCAAGGAGCTGAGAGTAGTGTCGGCAAGGAAGCTTTTATTAAAAGAACAAAAATATTTGCTAAGTAGGTTTGAATAGTGGAACGCAGATAAGGCCACAATGCTATGGGACTTGAATAGAACTGAACCACAGATTCAGAAGAAGAAGAAGATAGACTTAATTCATCCGCGCTTCATAATTTTACATCCTCGCACGCCCCGTGTTATGAGGTTAAGGAAACCTTCAAACTCACAGTCATATAGTTTCGAACCCATGATGTATAAGTCCATATTCTCATAGAGTTTCGTGGTTCTAGTTTAGGGTTATGGAGTTAAGGGATTATGAAGGTACAGAGTTATGGGGTTATGAGATTATGGTGTCATGAGATCATAAATCAAATTTTTGCCAGTCACTGACTACTCAAGTCAGTTTTAAATCTTGAAAACCGCTTAATAGAAGACTTTCTTGTCATGATGTGCAAAGGTCATCCTACTTTTTTGTGGCGGTTTTTAATTGATCAAAAACTATGGTTCGCATAAAAAACTTGAAAGTCTGAAGATTGATTCCAGGGAAAAATGGTCTTGTTTTTCTTCGTTTTTCTATTCGCTACGGAATTGAATTTTTAAAGTTCTGGCGAATGTGCCAGTATTAGTAGAAATAATTTTATATATTTATGTTTTTTGCTAAAGGAACATTGAAAATGTTAATTTCGCTTAATTAAAATATCAGATATATTTTCCTTTTGTCTAATTTAGGAAAACGCAATAGTAATAACAAAAAAGAAGGTAAGCAGCAAAACGAAATTATTATGAAATCAGACTAAATTTAGTTTGAACTTTTAGTTGCCTAAATCTTACTAACTTATTGTTAATAATGTTAATATTTATCTTCTGTTGCTTTTAATATATTTATCTGATATATTCCATACATTTCTACTAAATAATTGTAATGTTTAAATAATTTAAAACATTTTACAGCAATTTAAAAAAATAAGAAATGTGGATCAGCCTTGTTGTCAATTATAATTGAAATAACACATTTGTACTGAAATACAAGGTTTCTTTATATAAAATTATGTACGTATATTTTTCCTTAAATATGTATAACGATGATTTACAAACCTTAATTTGCAGAACTTTCACACAATATTAGATGCTATTGATGTTCTGAAAAGTAATTATTAAATGAAACTGTGTTTATAGTGCATAGGAAATGCTTTTATAACTATCCAGATATCTGAACTTTACTTTGACAGAACTTTCACGAAATTTAGATCCTATTAATTTTTGAAAAATGATTATTAAATGGAAGTGGATTCATAGTGCAAAGGAAATGTATTATTTTAACTATGTAGGTATTTAATTCCCCTGCTCATATTCTTTAATTTGAATTTAAAATAATTTCAGTATTAAAATATAATTATTTATTACATTGACAAAGAACTTCGGTGATCCATCTGAACATTTTTCAATAAAATACTTATTTTTTCATTTTTTAAATTTATTCTAAAATAATTCATAAAAAAAAATTCATAAATTATGTCTAAAGCTAAAATCCATCGGGTAAAACTTTATTTAAAAAGACTACATTTTCAGCCTTAAGTAGGAAGGACACTCGGTATAACAGCTCTCCTTATAATTGCTCTATAAAACAGTAAATTTTATTATCCCGTTTCGTGGTGGTGGCACATTTATGCTCAATAAGACCGATTGAGAATCGAATATTTTATTCCAAATTCGACTGACTCATGTATCATCTTGAATTAATCTGACGTTAAATCTTTTAGAATACATGAATATGCTCTATCCCTGCTACATTATTTAATTTAAAATTTCGACGGTTCTATAATATGAGGGCAATTACAGTAACAGGTTTAATTTTTCAAGGGTAAAGTCAATTTAAAGTTGGGCATGTTATAATCAATAATTAAATATTTGAAGCTTCTACCAAAAATCAACCTGTTTTGAGAATTCTGTTTTATATCCTAATATACTTCGGATGTATAAAAATAGAAAATGTTCAAAACGACATCCAATAATTGAAATTAATAAATAAGTAAACAGGTAAAAGACAGGGTAAAATAAAAATATTTTGTAAATATAATGTTTACTTTCGATATATCGACTATTTACTTAGAGAAGTTTAATTTTATATCATCATTAACGTAACGTCATGTATCAAGGGGGCTCATATTTTAAAAATATCTTTTAGTTATAGGTATAACAAATAGTGTAAAATTGCCAAAGCAAACATTTATTTTTCATGAAACACTATAAATTTTACATACGTAATTGCTATGAAAATTTTTCGTTTTAGAAGAAATATAGAGTATTTGGTGTACACACAATACTTGAGTAGTTTTTGATATATTCGTCGATTTACTAAAAATTCCCACTACTAGTTCCAGAATTACTTTACACTTCCTTAGCCTTAGCTTTTACCTCGCAACTTGCTAGAGTAGGGCAATCAGTCGGTGCAACTTAAGCGCGGATAATTGTTAATAACAAATACCGGAATATAATAAAATATCTATAATCAATTGAAATATACGCGGCAACATCTATAGCGTAGAAATAAGATTAACAGCAACTAAAACTGGTTCATTACACATGTCTGCGGTCTCATAATCTACAGATTATTTATTTTTGTCGTTTTCTTAATAGTCATTATGACACCCTACTAATGAATACGTGTTTACTCTACGAGCCATTGCCAAAACTAACTTTATTTTTGTTTATTTCAACACCATTATGAAGTTTATAAACTAAAAATTATTTGACAAATGTATATAAGAGAAACTTGTAACATTTTTAATGTCCTGTCTTCCCCTAATTTTTTGTCACTTGCTAGGAAATGCCTTGCGTATACAAGGTATTCTACAAGCTCTATGGCAAACTTTGACAGATAGTATCAGGGTTAATTTCAAACATTTTTTCGTATGTGAACATAGATTCGTTTTTGTTTAGAAGTTACAAAGATTTAAAAAATATAATTTCATATTTCAATCAAAATAGCCTGATAAATAAAAATGATGGTTGCTATAACAATAATTATTATTTGTATCATTTTGTTTATTCATTTGACACTTAGCGTTAAAGTGCTAAATATCAATTGACCATTCCATTCATTCCATTCAATACACTTGGGTAACTATTTTGAACTGTTCTAATACTGTCCGCTGACAGAACCAAAACAAGCCTATTGTCTTTGTACCTATATCGGTAGTCCTATGGGAACACCCGACAAGCAGCCAGAGAATACCAACGAAGATACTCAAATAGATATCAACCTGCCCACATAGTCTTTAGTGCATCATTTTGTAGACTTCGGGAAGAAGGTAATCCCGCTCCAAAAAAAGCCATTCGTCATACTGAAGTGAATGTACAAAATGAAGAAGATATGATAGACGCTGTCATAGACAACTTTTCAATTAGTGTTTGTAAATAATCTTAATTTATTACCGAATATGGTATGGCGTGTATTGAACAGAAAAACGTTACACCCGTTTTATCGCCAAAATGTACAAGCGTTACATGTGGGAGATGCTCCTCAGCCATTAGAATTTCGTCGCTGGTTACTTCAACAACATGCACAAAATTATAGATAGGAAAACACCCTTTTTGATTTCATTGATGATGTAGGGCTTAATATTGTTCAAAACATGTGGTATCAGCACGATGGTGCACCACCATATGAGGGAGAAAGGTAACTGCTTGGTAAAATGATCATTTCCCGAATAAGTGTCAAAGTCAAAAAGTCAAAAAGATCTAAGAGCATGGCCATCTTATTCCCCAGATCTACTTCTTTGTCTACCATGTTGAAATCACTACCCATCAGCAGTTATTGAAAAGTATTCGAGATGCAATTAACCAGATAAGAAATGATCCAAATTTCATTCATCGAGTGACGGAATCTTTAGTTCGCCGATGTGAAGCTTGCATTCGAGCCGAAGAAGGATATTTTGAACAATTTTTATAGTCTTAAGAATTGTTAATTTAGTTAATAAAGGTTAACTAATGTTTAAACTTTAAACATAAATAATAATTATTGTTGTAGTAACCATCATTTTTATTTATCAGGCTCGTAGATTGAAATATGAAATTATACGTTTTAAAATACTTGTAACTTCTAAACAAAAACGAATCGGACCTCTATGTTCATATAAGAAAATTAACCTAGCACTATCTGTCAAAGTTTGTCATTGAGCTTGTAGATCAATCTGTATAACACATATTAACATACATAAAATGTATAACATAGGTATATATAAAATTTCAACAATTTTATTAACTTTAGAAGAAAATAACAACCTATAAAAACCGTTGTCGTGAATTATACGTATATCAAGTTAATTTGTTTCATAGCTTTCATAACCCTTTTTGCTTTTTCTCCCCCTGGTAATATAACAGAAAGGTCTCCTTCCTCATTCCTAAAATTTTCTGAACCTTCCCACTGTAAATTTTATATTTTTTCCTTTACACAATTTTTCGATCTGGGAAGAAATAAATTAAAGTATCACTATCTTTCTTTTCCAGATGTTCTTTACGAAAAACCCCACACAAAGGACACCAGTACTCAAACTTCCCCTCATTCTTCCAACAATACTCTAAACCACTCCACGGACCATATTCCGAAAATGAACAACAACTACAACATAGGAAACGGCCCGGTAACTATACCTCAAGCATCGAAGATTAAGGATCTCTCGTTATAGCAGACGCCAGTGAGCAGATCGTCGAGCTTAAAGCGTAAGCCAGTACAGGTTTAAGTTGTATAACTGAATACATTCGAGAAAAGAAGAGACATTTCAAGATAGCTGTGTAAATATTAATCGAATAGAATTTGTTATACTTAGTGTTAAGACTGTATCCAAATTTAGTAGGTTGTTATCACTAAGCGTAAATCATTTACCAGAACTTCTTGTTGGTATTAATACAGTGCTCCTTTTATTAAGCATATAGCCTGTGGACGAAAACGTGAGCTGCTATTAGCTGCTCTGTCAAAAAGTTAGTTCTTAGATTTTAACCAGTTTGCAGTCAAAGCACGCTAACGTTTTCAAATGCAAGAGCTTCCGCATATTGAAAGGAATAAGTATAAATAATATTTCAAACTTAATGTTGAAATAAAAGATAAGTTAAAAGCAGGACTTCGTCAACTATAACAATATTTTTTTCGATTATTAAATTAATATAAAATTAAATTCTGAAATATCATTTGAATAGGAATGTTAGAAACCGTTTTTCTTCTCAGAAATGAAGCAAGTTATACAGGGTATCTCAGAATATATGGGCAATATCTCGGATTTATACAGGGGACATTAAAATAACATGACAAGTAATTATAAAAATTTTCTCTAGAGGGCGCCCCGACAGAAATACAGGCTCCTAAAGGACGCCCCCGAAAATCGTTTTTTTAATAATAACTAAAATATTTTGTGTAATTTATTATTTTTTAATACGATGGACAATAGAGGATCCAACAATCTTCAATTCGCAGAGCTAGGGAATGCATTACATTAGAAGGAGCTCATGTTGAACCGTTATTCAAAATTATGTAATAAAAATCATATTAAACAAAAATAATTCAGTTCATTTTAGCGATATCAACATATAATGCCTTCTTTTAGATTAAGGTTCTAAAAATATTGTTTTGGTAAAGGGTGTAAAAAAATTGACATTATTGTGCTATAGTTAGTCCGTCCCTTGCAAATTAAATAAACCAAATTGTTTTCACGGGTCAATTTTTAAGGAGTCTTATCTGTTATCCATCGTATTAAAAAATAATTGTTACATAAAGTATTTTAAGTTATTAAAAAAAATCGATTTTCAAGGGTGTCCTTTAGGGGCCTGTATCTCCGTAGGGGGGGACCCTCTAGGGAAAATTTTTATAGGAACTTGTCATATTATTTTAATGTCCCCAGTATAAATCTGAGAGATTGTCCACATATTTTGGGACACCCGGTACAATGCTAATCATTTTTAATTTTCCGGTAAGTTTCGAAAGACAAACGGCATTATTTATCACTTTTTAGTTTCTAAGGATGCAAAAACAATTGGTCTTACTTAACTTATTACCTATCTACTTTTTACTCATCACAGTAGAAGACAATTTCGAAAAATAATTCAATCTAAAATTTTTGTTTCAAAGAACATAAATATACTTTGTTCATTTTCAGATGACATAAAGTTTTGAAGAAAAAGTAAAATGTTTTCACTGAAAGGTAATTTTATTCTCTTTTTGTGAATATGATGGAGTACCTTTTTTAACATTAAAAATTGTAATTTATTACTTTTGCAAATTGTTACAATATGCATGATAATAATGAACATAAAAAAAATGACAGTATAATCTAACAATTTTTTTAATGGAACACCCTATATATTAGTTCATACTTAGCTTCGTTAAATTTTTTTCTTTTCAAAAATATATAATATGATTTTGATTTAGGACTTTTCGACATATTTCAGTTTAAAATTATTTTTGAAAAAACAAGAGGGAAATTTATGTCTGACGGATCGGAGTGGCTATGGACGAGGCACCCGAAATAAACAAATGACTTTGACAGAAGCTTATTTATCATCATTAATTTATTTCCTATAACAAACTATTTTAACAAAGAAATAATGTTTAGATACTCTAGTATAGGACGAATTACTGTCAATGACCAGATATGCTCAAATACCTACACTGAAAAAAATGTAAGAAATATTTGTGAAGAAACTGTCTAATCTAAAATTCGTTACTTCAGTTCTGGTAAATAATTAAGAACTTGTTATCAAATACTATGTAACACAGGGTAAGATGTTTGTTTTTATTTTTTCAAACATGTTTAATGAGAACTATATTTGTGTTAGGGAATAATAGCAATTCTACTGACATGTTCTTTGTATGTGATCATTAGGTACTTCTCTTTACACATATACGTAAATAACTCTGTTTCCTATAAAACGTATTGCTTTGTATATTTCGGAAATTACATATATAAAAACCCATAAACAGTTTTTAATAATATATTCAAAAAGTGTCTTTTACTACACATTAAATCCCTCGAAAAACTGCTTTTTTCACATATTTTAAAATTTCTTAATGTTTGAAGTGTGTCCGCAAAACGACACTTAAATTCTGTAGTTTTTTTTTTTATCAACGAATGATTTTTTAGTTAGATACATTCTTTTCTATGTATACAGAACGTATAGAGATAGATTGTTCCAATTTTTTATGCAAAATAGTCGTTTTTTTAATATAAATCCGAAATGACCGAAATGACGACATCCATAATCCATAAATCATCAGAACTAATTTCCATCAACTCAAAATTACTTTCTTACCGACTTTTGTCCATAAATTTTGACGCTTGTCCTCAAATCTAACAAACAATGCATTTATTTACTTATTATAATATTTACTTTTGTTGTCCTATTAAAACAGTTGAACTGAAAATTTTTTTCTTTTTATGTTACGTGTTCAGAGATCTGACGGCGTCGACCGCGCTACTCTCTAGGAGCTGGCTTACCTAAGGTTCACTAAAGCTGTAGACAATGTCAAAAATTAGACGCACTCCCTCGAAACGAATGGTTAGATGGTAGCCTAGCTCTCTCTATATATCTATCCTTAAAATATTTTTCAAGAAATGTTGCACTTCTTTCTTCAGAGGTTATTATGTTTAAAAATGTATTAAACAGCGTCGATTTAGTTTTTTGTAGCTCTTTAAGAAAATTTTTCGAAAATATGATAAAAACGACCATTTTTCAGTGTATAATTAAAAATTAAACTAATGTTTTTAATTTATACGTATACGTATATGTACGTCACTTTTATTAATTTATTTTGTAACTAAATTGTATACAGGGTGTAAAAAAATGTTGGAAGTCTGTCAGAACGTAGTACATGGGCATTTGTATAAAACCTATCCAAGATAGCGTCCAAATCAAGAAATTTAATTCAGACAAAATTTATAATGGTGCTTAACAAACACTCTTGCGAGGTTTTGAAAATCAATTCATCTATCTCTACTAGATCTACTTGAAAGTACCATTAAAAATTAAATATAAACTGAATTTCCAACATAATACTGACTTCACCCACTGCTTCACAAAGCTCAGTGGATTTCAGCCTTTATTAAATAAATCATTAGCCCAAGTTTCGTCACTACGCTTCAAACATCTTCAGAGACACCGTAGATATTTGCCAACATTTCTATTCCACCATGTATAAGTTTTGTTATGTGGAGTTGTTTCCGGTTTAGTTATTATTTTTTACAAATAAATGCAATAAATATTAGATTTTTTATCATTTAACTGAATCTGTTCGACGATGATTTAGTTTTTTTCTTACTTAAGCACTGATTAAAGCATGCCTGTACATTTCCATTAAAATATTATAATTTTGGTTGTATAACAAAAGAAACTACATTTCAATTTTAGTAAAAGGAGAGTTTAGAGACGATAAGGAATCATTCACTGAATATTTTTTTATAAACTGATAAAATCTAACACAGAAATAATACAAAGCAATGGCTTTTTGGGAGACCTATCTGGTTCTACTTTAGAAATAATTGTAAATACCTACAAATTAATTGAAAGACAAGTCCTTGTATTCTGATAAGCTCAATATCATAATAGGAATAATTCTATACATATTTAATATGAATTGAATGCTTGTGATCATTAGGCTTAAACGGTCTGTGAATCTTATTTTATTACGAATGATAGACTGATACGTTTTAAGATTATATTCCTTATCATTATACCAAAGATTTTATAATTTTATTTAAACGAGATGAATGCATGTAGCTGCTGATAAAAAATTTTTAACATTACGACATTATTCAGCAATATTGAGCCCTACGTTGAATAGTGTACTAATGTGAAACATGAAATTATGTGTTACAAACCGTCATAGATATGTATTAACAATATTAACGCCATTTACCTATTTATTCATTCTTCAGGAATGCGCTGAATTTTGGAAAGTTTTCAAAAGGTTTGAACCTTAAAATTTAGCATTAATGATTTTCTAATAGCAAATTTTGTTTGTTGGATTTTCAAAGTATATATTTAAATTCTTTTGTTCATTTTAAATCTGTAAAGTTTAACGAAATGTCCTTCGTTAAAAAAATGTAATTTTGATAAGTATCTCATACAAGCTATTTTAATAATTTAACCAGTTTTGTATCTCCAATAATAATATAGTTAGCAATAATGCACACGTTGCATAATGCAAACGTTTTAGAAACTCAAAGAAACTGATTTGAAGTAAGTGTGAGAAGTGAAACTGAAAAGCTGAAAAAAACTCAAATGATCAAATAGTCTTAAAGGATCATAAGGAAATCCTCATCTCTTACTTCAAATTAGGTCAGGAGTGATATAATTTCAAATGAAAATTAATAGATCTCTTAAATAAGATTCTAGACATTTTATTCTAGAGGTATTTTGGATATGTCGTTGGTCACGAGTACAGACTTTTTCTGTTCATAAGTCGTAAATCGTTAATTTTATATATGTCCCACCAGGAAACAGCATTCTATAGTGGCCAAGAAACTTGAAAAAATTAACTCACTAGTGGGACAACATAATGAAAATATTTATAAACTTCTTGTACCTGTATTTATATCAAAAGTTCACATCAACTTTTCTAAATTTCTATTCTTTCTTGTACTTTTGAAGTCCATTCATTTTTTTAAGGAAAAAATGTAAAAAATATTAATGTCTCAACCATGAACAGAAAAATTCAGAAATTCACAGTTTCGAGGATTATATGTTACTCATGTTAATGCCACTGGTGTTAGTAAATAAAATAATTTTTAATTATTTTCTACAAGTATCCTATACAGATTACCTTACTTTCAATGGGATACACCATTATAGTGAAAGAATTGTGAAAAAACTCTGTTGATGGTATTCGCATCTAGAAAATTATTTTTGGTATCCTAAATTCAAGTTAAATTCAATACATATTTATGGCGGTATTAAATGTTGTAATATTGTACTATAAAATTGATATTTCTTAAGTAACGATAAAATTATCTAAAACCTAAGTAATTGCTAATGAAATAAATTTAACTGTAACAAATAATGTACCTGTATTCTAATTAGTGTTTTCAATGAAGCTCTTAATAAAGAATGTTGAATATGGCTCTGTGTTTTTTTTAATAGCATTTGAAAGAGAAACCAGCAAGCGAAAGATTGCAAAGCTATTCAACTTGTCCGTCATAATCCAGGTAATGGAGGAGTAAAAAGGGGGGCTTACTTCGAAAAAAAAATAAAGGGGCTTTTAAACTCGAGAGTGTAGCACAGTTTCGCACCCCAAATAACATCTTTATGCAGTGAAAAATAATTATTACAAAAATTACAAAAGGTTAAATTCTGTGTAACTTTCGTTTTAAACTATTTTTTTTAGACAAATAGTTTTCAAATTACAACAAGATAAAGTGGAATGTATGCATAAACGCGAGTTATCAATCCTGACAATAGCTGACTTTGCAACCCTTACAGTTTCATTGTTCTGCTAAACTTATAAATATGGGTCAAGTTCATTGTTTAACCAGTTATTGTCTAGAGGTAATACAGAGCTCATACTTTTGAGATTATTGTATTCATTTTGACTTTAATTCATCGATACTTTTGTGAAAGTTTTTAAATAAAAAGAAATTTTGTTTAAAAAAAAAACTTTAAAATTAAAACACCGCATACTACAACCACACATGATTGGTCTGCAGATATTCCAGTTTCGAAAATATTTAAAAAACCTGGATTGATACATACTCACTATGTATTCAAATTTAGTGATGCCTATGATGGACTAATAGGCCTAGACCAGGGGTCGGCAAGTAATTTTAGGTGGGGTCCGGATACTTTTGAAAATTTTTAACGAGGTCCAGAAAATAATTCATATTTCTTATTTTTTTATTTTAATTTGGACTCAAATTTAATTTGCTTACTAACCATTAAGAACTCACACACTCACACAATTGTAAAATGCTAGAAAAAATGATAAGATTGACACTTAAAAGTAAAAGACATTTTTTAAATAATTTATTTGAGTAATTTATACTTTCAAAAAATTTTTGGCGGTCCAGTATTTTACCTTTCGCGGTCCGGACCTGGACCGCGGTCCGCGAGTTGCCGACCCTTGGCCTAGACCTTCTTCAAAAAATCGGAGCTATCCTCGATTTCAGAAACGGATATCTAATTACAGACAGTATAAAAATTCCTTTATTTATTGAAGGAAAAACACTAATTCACCCTGACACCGACAATTATAAGAAAGAAAAGAAAAATATATATATATCATCCCACCAAGAACTGAAATTATAGCAAAGGTACCAGTAATGAAAGAAAGCGGAGAAGCAATAATAAATTCCATAGTCCTTAAAGACAAAATAGAAATACCTGCTGGAATAGTAAATATTGAAAACAGAACACTATAGATGCTAAATATTATGTACAATAACATATTATTTTCCACAGTCATGAAAATGGGGGGAAGATTGTTTACAGGGTGGTTAATTGTACAATTTTTACGTAAATTCACGTTTTTCGCTTATAATTTTTTTCCGTCCATTTCCACGAGAAAACAGTAAAGTACTTTTTTTCGTCTTTAAAAGACCTACAAAACTAGCCCAAAAGCGTAAAAAAAATATTGATTAGATCAAAAGTTCAATCAGAGGAAGTTTATTTATGACTTTTGAATTAAACATTTATAAACTGCGTTATTATCACCAGAACTTTTTGGCATCGCATCCTATCATTCCTTATCACTGTCTAATAACTCACATGAAATCTGGAATCGGTAAGTTGAATAGTTTACAAGTTAAGACCTAATAAGCGAAAAATGTGAATTTATGTAAAAATTATACAATTAACCACCCTGTAGACAATCTTCCCCCCATTTTTTTGACTGTGGAAACTAATATGTTTTTGTACATAATATTTAGCATCTATAGTGATAAATTCAGCTTGTCGAAACAAAAAGTCGCGTCCAACTCTATATTTCCTGGACTAGAAATACATACATACACAGATACACAGATAACAGTTTCCCTTCCGTATGAGCTGGGATTAGGCCAACTCAGGAAACCACAACAAAAGACTCAACGTTTACTCTGCCTCGTGGTGGTTTTGATACGAATACAATTCGTTATTAATAGATAAGTTGTCCATAAAATTAATAAAAATATCATGCGAAACGAGCGCGGTTGTGCAATTTTAATTAATACATTTCAATTTACTTGAGTATAATTTAAAAACAATTTGTCTAAGAAAAAACATTTTCAAACAAAAAAGTTATAGAGAATTGAATAGTCTATAATTTTGTTAAAAACCACTGCTGACATCGGTATAGTGGTTGTAAACTTAATACAAGAAAAGAATAAGTCAAAGTTCTGTTGAAATTTTCCGCATTATTTTCAGAATATTAAAATACATATACGATACTCATCGACTGGGAAATAAATTACTTTTTTTTATTTTTCGCCAACATTGATTTATTTTAATAAGAAATAACACTGAAAATGCATAGAACGATACACTTCTCTAGAAAGACGCCTTTGTAACTTCAAAAACACAGTATACACTGCAAGCTGCAATTGTGAACGCCACGCCACTAATGTCTTTCTACCTCGTGTGTCGAATGCGGTTAATTCCAAAAAAGTGACATAGGAGTCTTCTTGGAATTATATCTCAACAAATATCGTACGGCCTATATGTAATTTGGAATGCGAACCTGTGCTAAACTGTCAAGTTTCAAAATTTCCTTATTTTTTACGGGTAAAATTTGCCATGCCTGGATTATCGTCACTCTCTCGGACATCAACCTGCTGCTTCTCAAATAATAGGTATCTTTAGGCTCCTCGATCCCTCGCTCGTCGATATCTACCTATATTTGCCTCTGACTAATATAAAAATTCTCGATACAAGTATAAAAATTTTAAAATAGAACAATTGGTAACAAAAATAACATTTTATTTAGCCTTTAAAATGGTAAAATTATAAATAAAAATAATTAAGATCCAGAATTTTCAATTCCAGTAAATTTCATTGATGTATCCCATACTTTCTTGCAAAGTTCCTTGCTATGGGTCTGTAAAGGTTGTACAAATTTTATGCAATCGATAAAAAATTGTCCTGAAACATTTTCGATCTCCTTTGCACAAGCCAGATAGATTGTCGTTTGAGCTGCTTCCTCACAACTCTAAAAATACAAGATAATAAGCATCAAAAAATTATAATCCGTGCAACTAATTACCAAAATGATGTAAACGGAATCACATTTAACTGTTCAGTACATGAAATGTAGCAAAGTACATGAAATGTAGCAAAACGTACAGTTTGCTACATTTCATGTATATGTGTCTAAAGAACTTTTTGTTTGAGATACATCACGTTCAAAGTTATTAAAAACATTCAGGAATCTGGAATTGTGGGATGCATTTACGCCTCATTGAGTCCCTTGTACAAATAAATGTATTATTATGCTTACAATCGAGATTATTTAGTTAGCAAATTATAAATTAAAATTTGATAGCAAATAGTTTCAAATAACTTGAAAGTAAACAAAAATTTTAAGCAAAAATTTCTAAACAATCAAATTCTAACGTTACATAAGAAATTTAAATAGAAATTAGGCCAGGAAATAAGCTGGGAAATGACCATTTCGCGACTTTTTGTTTCGGCAAGCTGAATTTATCACTATGGATGATAAATATTATGTACAATAACATATTAGTTTCCACAAATGGGGGGAAGATGGGTGGTTAATTGTATAATTTTTCGCTTATAACTTTTTTCCGTTCATTTCCACGAGAAACAGTAAAATACTTTTTTTTCGTTTTAAAAAGACCTACAAAACTAGCCCTCGAGCGTCAAAAAATATTCATTAGATCAAAAGTTATAAACAGAAGAAGTTTATTTATGACTTTTGAATTAAACATTTATAAACTACGTTATTATTACTAGTACGTTTTGGCATTGCATCCTCTCATTCCTTATCACTGTCTAATAATTCACACGAAATCTGGAATCGGTAAGTTATGGCCTTATAAACAAATTAACTAATTATTATTAGTCTGGAGGATCTTCCACATTCGCACTGATTTTTTTCAAGGTAGATTTCATAATAATACGTTGAAATCTATCATTTTTTTTAATTTCAAATATGCAACCTGGAAATTTTTTTTATTTTTAGCCTTAGCTGCAAAATGAAATATACAACGCACGAGTGTGATATAGTTATATATTATTACATATTCGAAAAGCTTATGAAAAGTGCTTTAAGTTAAAAAAAAAAAGATCGTTAAACAAATTAGGTTGGCAGCGGCAAAAAAAATACTGTCATAACCGGCAACCCGAGTACTTTCCCAGGTAAAAATATTTTTTTTGTGGAAGGATGTTAAATGCATAAGAAATATTTTCAAAAGTCAGTGGGTCGCTTGATTTTCGGCGAGCCGTGGCGCGGCGGAAGGGTGGGGGAAACGAACGACAGCAAGTCCGAAGAAAATGACGATAATATTCATAGTTCTGCCATTAAATAAGGGAAATTCGCTTGAAAATAATATATTTGACAGTCTGTAACTCCGTTGTTTTTCAACGAATCTTGACGAATTTTTTTTAACTTAAAGCTCTTTTCATAAGCTTTCCGAATATGTAATAATATATAACTATATCACGCTCGTGCGTCATATATTTCATTTTGGAACTAAGACTAAAAAATAAAAAAAATTCCTGGTTGCAAATTTGAAATTAAAAAAAAAAGATGATAGATTTCAATGTATTATTATGAAACCTACCATGAAAAAAATCAGTGCGATTGTAGAAGATCCTCGGGATCGTCCAGACCAGCGGTCTTCAAACTTTTACGACGTGCGGAACCCCGCCAACATTTTGATTTTTTTGAGGAACCCCTACGCCTAAAAAAAAAATTTCGAACACATTTTTTACTGATTATTTAATATATTTATAAATATGTACTACGATTAATAAAATAAATATTCCACTAAGTAAAAATTAAAGGAAGACTTTAAAGTAAATATTTATTGAGTAATTAAAAAAGAGTAAATATAATCAGACTGGGATGTATTTGAATATTTTTACGTAATACATTAAAATTAGGTGCTATTGTCGTAAGTTGCAATCGCATTTCAAATTTTGTACTTTGTTTTTGTCGCTATGTACGTGGACAATGATTTTTCGCATAGGTACGTAGTTGCAAAAGGCATGCATTGCCTGGTCAGCAATTGCATAAATAGATAAAGCTCTTATAGTAACTTATACGCGTGTACTTATAAAAATAAAAAGTTTTAAGAGTATATTTTTTTTTGAATTTTGTAATTATCGATAATAAAATTTAAAATTTTTGACGGAATTTTTGAGTCGCGGAACCCCCAGAGAGGTTGTGCGGAACCCCAGGGTTCCGCGGAGCACAGTTTGAATACCGCTGGTCCAGACTAATAATTAGTTAATTTGTTTATAAGGCCATAACTTGTAAACGATTCAACTTATCGATTCCGGATTTCATGCGAATTATTAGACAGTGATAAGGAATGAGAGGATACGATGCCAAAACGTTCTGGTAATAACAACGCAGTTTATAAATGTTTAATTCAAAAGTCATAAATAAACTTCTTCTGTTTATAACTTTTGATTTAATTAATATTTTTAGACGCTCGATGGCTAGTTTTGAAGGTCTTTTGAAGACGAAAAAAAGTACTTTACTGTTTTCTCGTGGAAATGAACGGAAAAAAGTTATAAGCGAAAAACGTGAATTTACGTAAAAATTATACATTTAACCACCCTGTAAACAATCTTCCACCCATTTTTATGACTGTGGAAACTAACATGTTATTGTACATAATATTTAGCATCTATAGTGAAAAATTCAGCTTGCCGAAATAAAAAGTCGCGTCCAACTCCATATTTCCTGGACTAAAATGTATGAACACGTTTTTTCGGTTAGATAACGATATTTTTCCAATTTTAACAATCTTCACAGTTTTTAATCGGAATTTTCTTTACGATGTTAATCCATCATTAAAATTCGGCCAGGATTTTAATTACACTGTATATAGTTTATTTAAAAAAAACTTCGCCTTTAACTCTATGAACTAAATCTTTCGCCGAGACAGATTAATTTTTACTTTGAAGGGGACGCATTTTAGCATCAATCTGACGTCACATTATTTCTCCACCCCTGACTACGTAAGCACCTTAATTTCCGCCTATATACAAAAATCTATAGAGTAAATCGTTTAAAAGAAAATAAAACAATTCTTATTTTTTTTCATACCTCACGCATTGAGCAAATTTACTACAATAACTACTGTGCCAATGGCATATCAAATATTTTAAAGGATATCCAAGTTACTAAACACTAACAGAAAAAACCATGTGGGGAAAAAGTATTTATAAATATGTACAGAAAGCAGTGAAAAAACAGAAAAAGAAATAACTTGCGGCTACTAAGATTCCTGGACTCTGATTTAGCTGCACCACCGTTGTTGTCCACTAGATGGAGGAAAGAGGCTTTTTTTCTCGGTCAAAGGGTTGCTCTCGAAGTCCAATAATTGCTATAGGTACAATGTTTCAATCGACGGTCCAATAGTCCACATAAAAAGTACTCCCACTGGAAACGGTTCCTGTGTTTGTTTGCAGTCTTCAGTGCGGTAGAGAATCTTTACCACAAAAATTGAAGGTATGACTTGACTTGAACTCGTCCAAAATACCCCAGAGCGTTAAATATAATTACAACCTAATTTAAAATTGGTAATTAAAGTATGACGCAAACTAGACCCATAACTATAAGTAGTACAATTGTATTCTTTAATTTTATTACTAGTAAAACATTACTGTAAATTACCAGTTTTTGAAATCAACATGGCAACGTCACACAACAATAACAACTTAATCAAAAATAGGTAGTAAAAACAAGTTAATTATCCGAACAAATCATCAATGAAACAACAATAATGTGAAACCTATACAGCTTGTCCCACTAGTGCGGGAAAGTCCAATATCTATGTTAAAATGAGGCATATATGGATTTTTCTTTTTACTGTGTTGCCACATTTCTCGGCATGTACAAATTAAAAATATATTCAACTATACAGGGTGTTCCACTTTTCCTGGATAGACACCAACTTTGGTTTTTTAAATGGAAACACCCATTTTTTTATATTTTTTTCGGATTCTACATAAAAAATAAAGGGTACTTTGTGTAGAATAGTTCTATTCAAATATTCACAGTTTTTGAGATATCTCGCTCGAAAGATTTTTCTAGTCGATATTGGTTGCTTACATTTTCTGATACTGACAGGTTATACTAATAGCTACTAAGCCCATTTTTTTATCAAATATTTAGTAAGGATGACTCTTCCGAATCATGCTCCAAAAACTGGCCTGCGTTATACAGGGTGACCAAAATATCATGTCAAAATTGCCAATTGAAAAATTGAAAAATCTCGATTTTTTTAAATGCAACGCCCTGTATATTTTCATACCATGAGATGCAGAATTAAATTCTCTACAACTTTGCTATACCTGCTCCTATACCAAAATTCATTAGTTTTTCATGAAATCTCATTTCTATGAAAAAATGCGAAGTTTACAAATAGCTTATATGTAAAATAACGTAGTAGGCTCCTGTCAAAGGATAATCTGGAAAATTTTCGATTCACATAAGGTTTAATAGAAAAGCGACAGTAATAATTGTGAAATGAATTACTCTAAAGAAGAATTAGTAAATAAATAATAGAATAATTAGTAAAACTCATGGTAACTGTTTATTGGCAAGTCGTATTTACCAAGCTAATAATCCAGATTTACAAAGATATCCTCGTACAAAGTGTTTTGTAAAACTGAAGGAGAGGTTTGAAAGAACGGCAAATGCAAATTATGAGAAGACAACAAGAACACACGCATGTGGTAATCAGGATAGTCAAATTGACATTTTGGAATGTGCAGTCCAAAATCCATCTACAAGTGTCAGAGAAATTAGTGATGAAATTAGTATTTCCAAAAGTGTGGTTAATAGAACGTTAAAGAAAAACAACTTCCACCCCTATCATTCTGAGCATCACCAATTCTTAACACAGCAAGATTTTCAGAAGCGAGTACAGTTTTGTGAGTGGGCAACTATAAAGCTACAACAAGATGAAATTTTTTTTCCAAAGGTGTTATTTACTGACGAGTCATCCTTTG